CTGCACTCCACTGCGTTTCCATCACAATGACAGTTTATGACTGTTCAGTAAACCATTCGGCCCGTGATTTAGGCTGGATTTTAGATTTTGGCCCCTTCTCTGATTGAGTTCGACACCCCTAGGGGGGTGATCAGGCTCGTAGGCAGAAGCAGTTAGGGACAATCAGGAAGACAGGTAGGCAAGCAATTGGGAGCCAGAAGTCCTGGATTGTGGGAGGGATCCCAGATTGGAGAGGATGCAGGCTAGGCTAAGGGACACACACCTCCAACACCATGCATGAATTTCGTGCACCGGGCCTCTAGTATAAATATATTATTGAATCTGAAAGGCAGAAAAACAATAGGTTGAAATCACAGCAAGTTCCTCCATATTATAACCTAAAAAGATATAAATCTCAAAGCATCTTATATAATATACTACAGTGTTTCCTCGAAAATAAGACATCCTCCGAAAATAAGACCTAGCGCATAGAAAAATAAGACATCCCCTGAAAATAAGACCTAGCGCATCTTTGGGAGCAAAAATTTATGACACTGTCTTATTTTCGGGGAAACAAGGCAGTAGCCCTGCACATAAATCTGTGCACCAGTAGCTCGCCAGTAGCTCCCTGCAGCCCTCCAGTAGCTCTTCGCCTGCTGCCCTGCTCTACAGTAGCTCCCTCAGCCCCCTGATCCCCCTCATAGCTTGCTGCCCCACACTCCTGCTGATCCAAGATCCGGTTGTTATGCGGTCGGTCGTTACACTTCACAACGTAATGACAATTTGCATATCACCTCTTTATTATATAGGGTTGGTAATCCTATATAATAAAGAGGTGATATGCATATTGACCATCACTCTAACACACAGATGGCCGCCACAAGATAGCCAGCAGGGGAGGGCAGTTGAGGGGAGCCAGGATGGCAGGGAAGGGCAGTTGGGGGCAACTAGGCTGGCAAGATAGGGCAGTTAGGAGTGACCGGGCCAGCAGGGGAAGGCAGTTGGAGGCAACCAGGCCTGGAAGGGAAGACAGTTGAGGGCGATCAGGCCAGCGGGGGAGGACAGTTAGGGGCAATCAGGCAATAGGGAAGGCAGGCGAGCGGTTGGGAGCCAGCAGTCCTGGATTGTGAAAGGGATGTCTGGCTGCCCGTTTAGGCCCAATACCACCCCTTCCAGATTGCAAAGGGTGCAGGCTGGACTGAAGGACACACACGCCACCCCCCTCCGTGCACGAATTTCATGCACCGGGCCTCTAGTTTCTCATAAAAGACAATTTTGAAACAGTTATGATTATGCAATATATACTTAGTCCTGAACCCATGACTTCTCATCCCAGAAAAAGTATGTGGAAAACTTAGACTGAAGAGATAGCAGTCACTTTTTTCACTTATTGAATGGATTTGTAAGCTGTGCAATCAATGAAGACAGTGATAAAGCAATACATTTTATTGCTCCTTTTGCCTTCATTTCTTTAAGCAAACCCTGGTCCAGACCTCAAAACTTTGATTTCCAAAGGAAAAGATTCCAGGGATAAGCTTGAGCAATACTCACACTACACACAAAAGAAAATGTCCTTTGGTAAGTCTTCCTTCTATCTACCACAATATCCACTTTCACATTGTTGTATTTTATTTCATGCTGTTTTGATTGTCATCAATCAGAAGGACAATTCTATTCTTTGTTGGGTAACTGGTCTATGCTTCCAAGGGAGGAAAGTTCACTGAAATAGAAGCTGCAGCAGTTGAGAACCAGGTCACTAACATGAATGAGACAAAGTGAGAAATGGCTCTGAAGCTTAACCAGCCAAAAAATACTAGACACAGGTGATGCAGAACAGTCAGGGGACATAGTAAGAATAACAAAGCTTCATACTCAAAATGGTAGAAAAACAAACATTTTTAAAGAATTGAAATCTTTCTACTTTTAAAAACAATTAGTATATGATTTGAAGAAAAAAAAAAGTCTTCTGAATTGTAAGAGCAGATCCAGTAAATCACAGTGTGTGGGTAGCCATTAAAATGAGCACAGTAATGCCAATTTCTTTCTAAATTTCTTTTCTCCCATCTATTTATGAAAAAATACAAGGAAAATGAGAGAAAGCAGCATAGCATTATAAAATCTGCTGCTAGACCTAAAGTAAGAAACATTCCAAAGATTTCCAAAGGAAAATAAAATGGCAAGACATTTACTAGTATTCTGTAATACATATGCATTCAATTTTTGGTTCTTTTTTCTACCTACAAAGTTAAAATGTTATGAGCTCCAGGAGTTCCAATTTGAAAATATACTTTGCACTAAAGACTAAAGAGACAATATATATATATATATATATATATTATAGTAATCCTTAAGAAAAAAAAAATCCTATCCTTGCCCTAACTGGTTTGGCTCAGTATATATAGCGCATTGCATTGAACTGAAGGGTTCCAGATTTGATTCCAGTCAAGGGCATATACCTTGGTTGTGGCACATCCCCAGTAGGGGGTGTGCAAGAAGCATCTGATCTATGTTTCTCTCATTGATGTTTCTATCTCTCTATTCTTCTCCCTTCCTCTCTGTAAAAACTCAATAAAATATATTTTAAAAAAGATCCTATCCTGCCAAAACCAGTTTGGCTCAGTGGATAGAGTATCAGCCTGCAGACTGAAAGGTCCCAAGTTCGATTCTGGTCAAGGACATGTACCTTGGTTGAGGGCACATCCCCGGGAGGGCGAGGGGGGGGGGGGGGGAATGTGTGTGCAGGAGGCAGCTGATCAATGATTCTCTCTCATCGATGTTTCTAACTCTCTATCCCTCTCCCCTCCTCTCTGTAAAAAAATTAATAATATATATATATATTTTAAAAAGATCCTATCCTTCTTCCATGTCAAACCAAAAAAAAACTAAAGAATCACCACCATGATTCCTCCTTTTCCCTTACCTCTTACTTTTTCCCATCAAACTGTTTTACTTCCAAAACATTTACAAGTCACCTACGCATCTCCAACTGTTGTCCTCCTCTTAATCTCTACAAAGCAGCACTCATGATCCTTTTAACTTAAATAGCAAGCCATTCTTCCACTAAAACCTTTACAAGCTTCCCATTTCACTCAAAATGAAATTAAAACTTTTCTCCATGATTCTCCATGATCTAGATCCTATCTTGATTCTGAAAGTTCACTTCCTCTCCATTACAAATGCCAGACATGCCTATCTTTTTTTACCCTTAAATAAATCATGCTGCCTTTTACTTTACAGATTTTGCATTTTTTATTCTCTTCTTATACAGAAAAATTACTAGACAGATCTCTCAACTCTTGAATTTTGATGTTGTTTTTAGAACTTAAAGAATACATTGAGCCAAAACCGGTTTGGCTCAGTGGTAGAGCGTCGGTCTGCGGACTGAAAGGTCCCGGGTTCGATTCCGGTCAAAGGCATGTACATTGGTTGCGGGCACATCCCCGTAGGGGGTGTGCAAGAGGCAGCTGGTCAATGTTTCTCTCTCATTGACGTTTCTAGCTCTCTATCCCTCTCTCCTCCTCTCTGTAAAAAATCAATAAAATATATTAAAAAAAAAAAAAAAGAATACATTGAGCCCAGCTGGTGTGGTTCAATGGTTGAGTGCTAATGTGTGAACCAGAAGGTCATTATTAGATTCCCACTCAGGGCACATGCTCAGATTGTGAGCTCAATCCCCAGTAGGGGATTGTGCATGAGGCAGCCAATCAATGGTTCTCTCTCATCACTGTTTCTATCTCTCTCCCACTCTCTTCCCCTCTCTGAAATCAATAAAACTATATTTACAAACAAACAAATAAGTAAATGAAATAGATAATCCTAGTGGGTCTAATATAATCTGTTAAACCCTTAAAAGCAGAGGTTTCTACATACAGCAGAAGAGTCAAAAAGATACAGCAGAAGTTGAAAGAAGATTCTCCCCCAGAGACTCTAGATAAAATTCCAGACCAGCTAATAACCTTGACTTACACCTGTAAGACCCTACACAGGGAACTGTTAGTCAAGCCATCTGTTTTCATCTTCACAACTGTAATACAACAAATGGGTGTTGTTTTAAGCCACTAAGTTTGTGGCAGCAATGAATACAAAGGCCGTTTCCTGACCCTCGTGTCCTCCCCAGATTGTGTGAGGGCCCCCGTTAATCCTCCCACAGCATTTGGCACTTCTTTTTCATAATATTCATCATACTTAGTACTTAATTTAATGTATGCTGTCTAAACTCTACAGTCAGAAATTCTGTATTTTTGTGTACCATATACCATTATAAACCAATGTCTATGCAATTGGTACCCATAAGGTGTAATGACTTGACAAATTTTTTTATTCAATTCTCCTATTACAATATATCTTCTATAGTGGACTATATTATAAAATATTTCTAGGGCCAGTTGTTTTATAGCAGTGATTAAAAAGGGAAAACAAGTAGGATGAATGGAATATATTCAGAGTCATTGAGGCAGTTATTTTTTGTTTGTTTGTTTGTTTGTTTTACAACCCCCCCCCCACTTGCCACTACCCACAATTTTTTTTAATATATTTTATTGATTTTTTACAGAGAGGAAGGGAGATAGAGAGTCATTGATCAGTTGCCTCTTGCACACCCCCTACTGGGGATGTGCCCACAACCAAGGTACATGCCTTTGACCAGAATCGAACCTGGGACCTTTCAGTCCTCAGACTCTATCCACTGAGCCAAACCGGTTTCAGCCACTACCCACAATTTTAAATGCCCATTCCATGCCCCATACACGTAGGGAAGCATGACCTCTATTTGGGAATCACAAAAGATTGCCATAGTCTTTATTACTTATGTCACTGGGTCATATTCCTCAAGTATGTTGAACTATGAGAAAAGGCTTACATCATCATTTTATTTTTTTAAAGAAATATTTTTCAAAATGCAAACACAAAACATATTTATTCAATCTGAGACATTGTTTCTTTCTAATTAAAAAAAAGACTAAATATATTAAAACTGTCTAATCAGAAAGAGAAAATGTCAATAAAAAGAACAATTTACTTACATCAATGGGAAAGTAAAAAATGGGAGTGTCATGGTAAGTCTTGCTGTAAGTTCATCAGGAAGATACCACAAGTATACAATTAAACATGTAAACAGATAGAGAATTGAGGAGTAAAGAATTAATCTTCCAACCCATAATTTTTGTAGTCTCTGATTTTTTTCCCTAAATTCTTCCAATGCTTGAATTTCCTGTTAAGAGAAAATTATTTTATACTATTTAATCTCAAATTTCATAAACATGCTGACAAAAATTTTTCACATGATAAGAGATTATATAGAAAGAACTCTTAAATTTCAATGAAATACAATACCTTAATATTTTAAAACAGAACATAATATGAAAAACTAAAATTAAAAAGAAATAAAAATACCTATTCTGACAAATCCCTTTTTTAAATGCAATATATTAAGATACAATTTTTAACCTATCAAAAATTAGCAAAAATTGGAGGTATGAAATTAGCATCAATAAATAATATTAAATCAAATAAATAGTAATTCTCCTACATAAGGTCTATAAAATATTTGGCTATAAAAAGAATAAATATTGAAACAGTGATCTATACTGTATTCTTCCAATCCATTCATCTCTCTCAGTATTCCCATGAAATAGCCATTTTTAATAATCATAGAAAGCATAAAAAGCTGTGAAATTTGCAGACTAATAAAAATTGTTGCAGACTATTTTATAATCTTCTTTAGCCTATCTGTAACATTGATTTACATAATGCTATACACATCTAATTCCATTAGAACAGGCTCTATCGCTTGGCACAATCTTAAACCAGTGATAGACTGGATTTTTTTGAATTATGTAATATCAGAATTTTCATGCTTACTCTCTATCATCTCTAAATTTCCTACCAGATCCAATCTCCAAAATAATATATATTAAAATAATATTTACATAATACCTAAAATAGATTTAAAATACTCCAGAGATAAAGAATTTACCTTATCTATATTTTCCAGAACTTCTACAGTTGAAGGTTTTGTCTGTTACAGAAACAGAAATGAGACACAGCATTAAAACTTGTTATTACAAATTTAGAAATACCTTGATTTATACAATCATAAATAACACTTTAATCCAAAATTGTTTTTCAAATGCTGTCAAACAACATATATTCCTGTTTATTTATAAATAAGATTTAGATTTAAATAAAATTATCATTATAAACAAGATTATATAAGATTAAATAAGCATTTTCCACTTAATGTCTTTTTAGTCCTATAAGTACCTTTAACTGATAGCTCAATTTTTACCATTCTTAAACCCAACAAAACATACTTTTATCAATTTTCCTCCAAGAAAATTTTTCTTAGATATGATTATTTTTTAAAATTTATATATTAATAATTTAAGACTAAAATTAGTCTGATTTTCTATTGCTAAAATTTCACTGAGGACTCTGGAGGTCAAAAGCATTCTAATTTCCTAAAGTACTTTTCTGACAATCAGATTTTAAAAGGGCATCTAAAAATACTTTCATTAAAGCAGAGCTTGTTTGTTAAAGGTGTTTTTAATACCACCTAGAATAAAAACCAGCCAAAATGACTCATACAACACTTGAGAAAATGTTCTCAACAATCTAAGTGGGTAATCAACTCATTGTCGTTCTCACAAGAGTTGCTAACATTAGGTTGAACCATATGAAATTGCTATTTGTGTAAGTCAAAGCTTGTGAAAATTGGCAATTTCATATAGTCCAACTTAACACAAGAGACAAAAGAATAGTAGATAAATTTGATCTTCTGTAAAAAGGTTTCCAAAGGGGGCAGGGGCAATATAACGCCAATCCAAAACACAGCAGTTCCAGCAATAGTTCAATACTAAATTCTGGCTCTAACTGGTTTGACTCAGTGGATAGAGCTACGGCCTGCGGGCTGGAAGGTCCCAGGTTCAATTCCGGTCAAGGGCATGTAATACCTTGGTTGCGGGCAAATCCCCAATGGGAGGTGTGCAGGAGGCAACTGATCGATGTTTCTCTCCCATCAATGTTTCTGACTCTCTATCTCTTTCCCTTCCTCTCTGTAAAATATCAATAAAATATATTTTTTAAAAACAAAATCTGTACCAAGTAGTACCAGATTCAATTATTATGGTAAAAAGGAGTCTAAAATAAGTGAAGTAATTTTTCCTAGGCTATATTACCTCCTCTTATATTAGAGAAGAACATTTATCAATGTATTTTATATTTTCTAGCTCTAAAGTTGAGCTATTTCCTCTAAAGACTTAACCAATTAAAATCAGACTGGATTTTTAAATCTGTTTAACCTATATTTCCTGAAAGTATATTTAGTGTGACTCCAGTAAATATTTGTGACTAGTTTTAAGCAAAGAAATACAACCTGTAAAAAGTTAAGTACCATATAAAATACTAATTTCAACTATCTTTCAAATAAGATTGAAATTTAGGTATTATGAGAAGAAAAGATAACTACTCATACATGAATACATAGAGAAATAAAAGCAATTCATAAGTCAAAATGAAATAATTGTTAAACAGAGACATTAGATACCTATATAGCAAGTAGAACTCTAAAGTCCAAATAAAAACTAATTTGTAAGAGAAGAAAGAAAAATTACAGTCAGGGATAATATCAAACTACTATTCAAGTCTACATCACAAAGGAGACTTTCACAAATAGCTTTTTTGGACACTTTCATATCAGACTAAAAAACTGACTGTAAAGAAAAGAAACTTACCCTCCATCGGGAAAATAATCCACCCATCTTTTAATTGTAGAAACTGGGCACAACGATAAATATCATCAATTGTCCAAAGAAATTCACAGCTAGAAATAAAACAAGCACTTAAAAAACTTAAGTCACAACACATAGCCTACCCACTATAAAATTTAGATGTTATAGTACTCCTTAAAAATACTAAAGAAGATTAATTTATTTGTACTCCACTTAGGTGAAATTTTAATTTAGACAGTCTTGGGATATAGTCCATCTTTTAATAATCCTTCTTCCAAGCCAGGACATATTTAAAAGTGAAGATAAAGCTGGAAAAGCTTTTTAATAGCAAGGTATTTTAGAAGTATATATTCATACTACTTTGCAATTTTTTGTTCTTTAAAGTAAGTCCCCTATATTATTCTTATTAGAAAAGTTTAATCTATTATTTTCATTTTACATGACTAAACATAACTTTTTCTTTCAGCTGTCTCCAATTAGTTATTTGAAATTAAGGGTATTTTACAATGTTTAGCATAATATCACCTTACAACTAATAATATAGAAATCCAACTGAATTTGAATAAGAAAACAAGGGTTTCAAGCTACCTGTGACCTTGAGTAAATCATTTCATGTTTCTGAACCTTAATTTTTTTCTGTAAGCTAGAGTTAATAATGCTATCACTTTTCATAGAAGAGCCTTCATTATTACCATTTTATAAGAAAATTAAGTGAAAGAGGTTTAGTTGTCTGTCCAATAGCTCAGAAAAAAACATGGCCAAAAGCCACTCTATCTTCAGAATTCTCATCTGTTCACTACTATTTAAAACCCAAATAAACATTTCTCTTTTAAACTGTGTCTAAGTCACCCTCAAGTTAGTTGATCTTCATGTCAGCTATCTGTATATCCTCTTCATTTAGTTGTTTTTCTATTACTCTGAAATGTATTATATTACTATATGCTTGAAAATGTATCAGCAATTATATTCTAAATCAATTTACCAGTCAATAATTATACAAATTTTTATTCTTTTAAGTTGAACCAGTGAAAGTACACTTTCAAACTTATATATATTTTACCAGGTTAAAATTACATACTGCCAATGTCTAAAACTATTTCATTTCCATAAAATGAAAAGTTAGGTCATGATTCTTAACATTTTTAAAACCATATATGTAATAAATAATAATAATAATAATGCCAGTACCAAATAAGTACTCTCTGCAACACTACTAATAGGTTAGAATTAGCATAAGCCATACCTATATTAGACTTTTTTGGTTAGAGAAGTAACAAAGAGCCTAACTATAAAATACTTTCACTTACAGAATAACTTTTATAGACAGAAATAATTATAATCTGTCCCAAATTTGAAGTTTATAAATATAACAAATGTTATAAGCCATATTTAAGTTGCAATCTAAGTATTATTAATCCTTCAATATTAACTCAGTATTCAAATTTCTAAATGCAGTTATAGGAAATCCAGGAACTTTAATGAATGAAAGTATAAATTTCTGAGTTAAGACATTAAATAGACCTTAAAACCTTAAGATGCTAAAAAAAAAATAATCAAGAAAGATGACTGGGGAGGGAAGATTCAAATGAACCACTTTAAGTTGGTATTTTCAAAGTATACATCATCCCATTATTTTGAAACTAATGTATGGTTACTTAGTTTTGTACACAACTGACCTACACATTTTGATTTGTAACAGATTTACATGCCAAGTTAAGTTTGTAGCCATCACAAATCAGAATTTTTAATATTTGAAAGTAATAAACAACGACAGTATCAATTAAACACTTGCTAAGCACTTACTCTCTAGTAGGCCCTAAAATAAATGCTTTACTACATGAATGTTATCATTTAGATACTACTATTGCTCCATTTTATAAATGAGAAAACTGAGGCTAGGGAAGTGAAGTAATTTATTAAGGCCCCAAAGATATTAGAACCAGACACATTTTAGTTTTGATTTTTTTTAAGCAACCAGTTATTCCCAATAACACAAAATCAGAAATAAGTGTAGTTTATATATGAGACTGAAATATTTATATGTAAAATACATGAAAGCATCTGTGCCGTTCTCAAATAGCTGGTAAACAGAGATACTGAAGTGAAAAATGAGTTATAAACACAGGAGACAGTGTTAGTATCTATATCATGTAGTCCAAATCCTGCATTAGATTAACCTTGAATGCATAAATCTGCATGGAAGAGATGCTAATGGTTTGCCAAAATCATGCAACTCCAGCTAGAAGCAGAACTGACACTAGAAACCTGCAAGCACTTCCTTTGTTTATTGCATATCACTTTTAAAAATAAGTGTAATGTTAAATACTGTATATGCATAAAATTGCAATTAATAACTGGTTTTGACATCAATTATTTGTCTGGATAATTGTTTTGGAATTAATGAAACAAATTATGGCTTAGCCTTCAAAATTCCTGAAGCAGAGGATTGTACTTTTCAATTTGTCCTTTAAAACATTAGAGTAACAGTCATTAAATGCCATATCTATGCTTTCAGGCTCATAATCAAGAACCAATAAACCCTCATTATTCCAGCAATTTTCCTATCAATTTCTGGTATTTGTTAAAGAAGCTGACTTACTGTAATGCACATATAATGTTATAAAGATATAAAAGTATAACAAAGTTAAGTAAACCAACTATTTCTCTATAGCTTTAATTTCATGCCTCTTCTATTTTCAAACACTTTTTCCTCCTTACCACCCAAACATCTTAATTCCAATTCCTGTGAACCATTACTTACTATAAAGCCTTGGGCAAATAAGTCATCCTCAGTTACTCAATATCTGCATCTTCAAAGGAAAATAGTTAAGGACCCTCTTAAATGTTTAAAGGCTTAAATGACATAATGCCTTCTAAACGATTTATAACAGTGCCTGACCCACATTAATTTCTCAATACAAATTGTTGTTTTAACTGCTATGATCACTGCTAGCCCATCTCTGCTTCCTTTCAACATATGGAAATTACATTGGAACCAAATAACTAGCATTTCTTTCTGAAGCATAAATCAATCTGCTTGTCCTTGAGTGGACAGATGGCTCAATTTCAAGTGGCTTATCCCCAAGAACTCTTCCATGAACATGTACAGAGAGTCTCTTTCCACTCTGATATCATAATGGGACTTGACATGACCTTAAAAACTAGGTGCATCTAACATGTTTTCAATGAATAATAATGCCCCCATAGTACTTGATGTTTTTTTCTATTAACTGCAATTCAGTCAGGTTTGGATGTCAAAATTTTAAATCTTGGAGCACGTTATTTTTTTATTTCCAGCTCATTTCAAGTCATTAAAATAATGGAATAGAAAAAGTCTAGGTTCAAAATATGACTCAAGCACATACTATTATGTATTCTTGGTAAATTAAACTCCCTAAAGCCTCAGTTTCTGCATTTGTAAAGTGGCAAAAATATCTACACTTCACAGAATTATTGTATGAGTTAAATGAAATTATGTATCACTTGGTACAGTATTCAACAAATTTTAAGTGCATTGTAGCCATTGTTATTACTATTACCAGAAAACACATGTAGTACAGACAGTACTTCTAATATGAACACATTTCTTTCTATAAAGAACCTGTTTCATAATTTTAAAATTGAAAAATAAAATTGCAGTTTGCTTTTTACTGAAATTGTATTGCTCTCATCTTTAGTATAAAAAATAAAGCAAAATACTCTGCAGATTCTTCCATTAAAATAACATGTAGGCCTTTAACAGCAGAGTTTAGTTTTATGTTTATCAAGTTTAAAACGTAAGTAGAAACTACTCAATCACTATCAACAGTACCTCTATAACACATCGTACTATTCAATTAAGATTAAAAGTGGTCTGTTCCAAAACTCTAACTTTCAAGTACATAATTGAAAAGGCAATTCTGAAATATCACAAACTGCCACACCTATTGCTTAAAAACAAAATTATTCAAAAGAAGAACACCTCCCAAAGCACTTTTACTATATGATGATTACGTTCTGGTCTTCATGGGAGGTCAATGTTCATTCTGAACCAAACACTACCAAAAATGATCATTTGACTAGAAAGTTTTTTATATGAAGTTATGATAGTCAATAATGTCTTCCTCTTCATACTTACTTTTTCAATTTAACAATTTATAAACACTATATAAAATTCTAATTTTAAATGCATCACTCGTACTTTTTAAAAACGTGTTCAAAATCAATTTGGTCCTCCTAAAACGGAACTATGGGGACAGCTGAGGATAGGAGATTAGCAGTCCCTGCCAGTTTGAACATAAGCCTGAAATCAAGCCTTAATCACACCCACACAGACCCCTGTAGAATAGGGTTAGTGTTGTCAGTGGTGACACCCCGGCCACGGAGAAAGGAGGAAAACAGTTGACACTGCAAACCAGAAGCTCACTGGGAAAAGCAGAACATGGAAAAGTGGGTGAGTCACAGGTTTTACTTAGTTACTGGGGTGAGGAAAACCATCAGCAGAACTGAGCTCACCAATCCCAATTCTCTCTCAACACCCATGCACGATATTAACAGAATTCAAACTACTGATGTAGATTTGATTTGCTCTTCTCCTGCCAGGCTTATGACAGCTAAGCACCCCTGCCCTCCCCTCCACCCCTTACGTGGCCCATCATCATCCCTCAAATAAGGACAACAGCTGGACGCGGGCTTCGCTCTCAACTGTACACAATCCACGCCCACACGCCCGGGCCGAGCCGAATGACACTGACAGTTTTGGGTCCCTCCTGACGCCTCCGATCCTCCGAACAACTCAGGAAGCCCCGGGGAGGACCCTGGAAGTCACGGCGAGGCGAGGGACCTTCTGACCCTTCGCCTCCACATAGGTGGGCCAAAGAGCCGATGCTCAGCTCAGCTCAGTCACCACCACCCCGCCCCGCCTCGCCCACGCCGGGCGCAGGGCTGGGCACCACCTCCCCTCGGGGGGAAGGCAGGGGTCTACAGCATTCCAGAACCACCGGGGTCATTGTGCGGGGAACCCCGAGGGCCCGGGTCAGCGCGCAGCAGGGAGGGGACCTGCCCGGCCGCCTCGGCGGAGCCCGTAGGCCCCTCGGCAGGGGCGGGGGCCGGAGGAGGGCGAACGCGAGAACCCGCAGCGCGTTTCCCGGGGGGAGAAAAAGCTCAGCGCGCCTTCCCGCTGCCAAGCCCTCCAGGGCGCCGTCGTCGTAAGCGCTTTACCTTCGAGAAGCGGGCGCAGCCCGGCGCGGGCGTCCGCCTCGGCCGGCTCCGGCAGCCACCGCGCAGCCCGCCTCCGGAGCGAGCAGCAGCCGCCACTGACAGAGAGCGCGGCCGGCCAACTCCTTCCCATCAAACCCCGCGCTCCCGCCGCCGGCCAATCGGCGCCGCGGCCGGCGCGCGCCGCTCCGTCACGTGACAGCGATCCGGGCGGGCCGTTGGCGGGGAGGGGGGGCGCGAGAGGGCGGTTGAGCGCACGTCCCGCGGTGACTTCACAGCCAAAGCGGGCGCAGGTCCTCGCGACTCAGAGGTGTGATGCTCTGGACTTTGACTCTTACCCATATAGCTGGTTCTCCCTTTTCCTCTGCCTCCGCCTTGGCTTTTAAAGACCGTTCTGCAAACCTCCGTGGAGGAAGAAAATGCCCGACCATGATCCTAGGAGCAAGAGAACGTCCTAGACCATCCCGAAGAGGAGTGGGGTTGAAGGTGGAGGTGGGTGCGGATGGAAGGTCACCCTCCCTGCAGAGTCCCCCCTGGTCGCCGTCATCCAGCGGGTAGCGGAGCAAGTTAGTGCTACAGGTAATAGAAGAGACCAGCTTTCCCCCACTCCCCCGCAAAAAAAAAAAAAAAAGGGCAAGAACAGCCAGGAGAGCCTGAGGCTCCTGTCCCCAAGGACGTCCAAGAGTCACTTGAGAACTGCACGCTTACCTCACCCGTGTGTAGTAAGCTTCCAATGCCCAGTGAGGTTGATTTCAAAATGGAGATAACAACATAAGCCGAGTTTTCTTTCTTGAAACCCTTACCTCAAAAACACTCCTTTCAAAGGTCCTGATACCTGGGCCCAAACAAAGTAACCACACAAAGTAACCACCCAGCCTCCCTTTGCCTCAGTTCTGAAGCATTGCCTAGCGGGCATTCAGTTTCCTCGCTAAGTCCTAAATAACAAGACACTTGAACAAGAAGGTACTAACATGGAGAAGGGTAGAGGAACTTCAGCAACAGCTTTTGTCGTGTATTATCCCTGTGACATGTTTTTGTGACCCTGTGTTCAAACATGTTCATGGGATTGTTCTATTGGTTACACATTCTAAAATCAAAAAGTGGAGCTGATTTTTAGAGTGTAATTATTTGTTGTTTTTGTTTTTTTATATTTTATTGATTTTTCACAGAGAGGAGGAGAGAGGGACAGAGAGAAACATCGATGAGAGAGAGTCATCGATCAGCTGCCTCCTGCACACCGCCCACTGGGGATGTGCCCACAACCAAGGTAGATGCCCTTGACCGGAATAGAACCTGGGACCTTTCAGTCCGCAAGCCGACACTCTTTCCACTGAGCCAAATCGGTTTTGGCATAGAGTGTAATTGTTTTAACATGCAAACAAACAAGAAAAGAAACTGAACGTGGTATCTACATGATAAGAATAATTTATTTTGGAAGCTACCAGATCATCCTCTGTGGAGTTCCTTGTCTCGCTGCTAAAAATTTTTAGTAACAGAATGAAGGAAAGGGAACCAAAGTTTACTTGTTTGGGTCAGGCACTTCATACATCTAGAAGAAAATGAAAACAGTTCACCTGGTTTAATATAGAAATTAAGCATTTGGTTTTTCAACCTTTGCTATTTCAACATGTGTGTGTGTCGGGGGGTGGGGGGGTGGTTAGGCCTGTGCTGTGATGCAAACATTACATCTCACCTCAGGAAGATCTCTTTTCTAAAAGAATAGGGAATGTTTTCCACTTGCTAAAGATTTATTCGATAGTTTTAATTGAACCATCAGAGTCTATTTGCAAAGGGGAAGGAAACAGGAAGTGGGAAACTGAAGAATTAGCTGGATGAGATTCCAAAAAAGCTAATGCAGAACAAAATTCTCTAGGTAATTGCTCTAGAAGAGCAGAGATTTGGCCTGACAAGGAGAGGGAGAGAAGCACTGAATCATTTCAATCCTCCCCACAAATGAGGAAACTGAAAAGTAGATTTTATTGTTGAAGGTAACACTGTACCCACTGCCTCCTTTATATCAAATGGTAACAATGTTAGGCACAGTGAGGGAAGACATCACAAGCTGAGAAATCGACATGTGCACTATGTGGCTGGACTACAAGCTACAGGGGTCTTTGCAAACTCAAAGATCTAAAGTAACTGCAAAGGATGGTCTGAAATTAAATTAAATTAAATATTGAGGACAAGACCTTGTGTTTAGTGCTGAGGATACTGAAATAAATAAAATAGCTGCCCTAAAGCAACTGACACTAGTGAAAGAAACCTTCAAGAAAACAAAAAATAAGTACTGTGATAGAGACAAATATTCAAAAGGTTCAAAAATAATAAGCCAGAGATTATGTGGGAAAGCCAATGAATTAGGTGCATAGTTGTGTCCAAATATTAGAGTATTTCCTACTAATTCTAAAATTATACTGCGGTAGATTCTCAGGAAGTGAAATTGCAAGAGCACCAGAAAAGATGCAAAAGGAAACTATTCTAGCCAAAGGAATTCTAAAAGGTCTAATTGCTGGAATCAGTTTGGCTCAGTGGATAGAGGGTCAGGCTGCAGACTGAAAAGTCCCAGGTTCAATTCTGGTCAAGGGTATGTACCTTGTTTGTGGGCATATGCTGATGGATGTCTCTCTCTCCCATTGATGTTTCTAATTCTCTACCCCACTCCCTTCCTCTCTATAAAAAAATAAATCAATAAAGTATATTTTAAAAATAAAATAAAAGGTCTAAGTGAGTATTTAGAGAAATAAATGAAAGTTGCAAGAGATAGGTGCTATGGGCTTACAGTGGAGTCATTGGTTGACCTGGTCAGAAGTTTAGGAAAGGCCTCTTTGAGGAAGTCACTCTGGAATGGAGTTCTAAAGGCTGAATAACCGAAGAACAGAGAAAAGGAAACAGAGCATCTTATGTGAAGGCATTTTGTCAGGAAGGAACATTATAAAGCCTGATGGGTTGAGAGGAGGCCATTGTGGCCTAGTAGGCCATAGTTGCAGGGAGAGGATGCTACAGTGTGAAGCAAGACCTCCCTGGCCATACTGAGAAACTTCATCTTTTTCTTGAGAACAAAGTGGGGAGGGAATTTTATCTGACCAAAACTGTTTTGAAAAGATCATTCCAGCTGCAATGTGAGAATATGAACAGGGCCAGCACTGGACCAATTAGGATTTATGATGGTGATTAATGTTGGTAGTAGTCAAGTGGGTTGGGGTGGGAACAAGGAGATGAAGACAAGTGGGGGTATAGATAAAAAAAAAAAAAAAAAAAAAAGGCCCACATGCTACCTGACTAGTTTAGGGAAGGCCTGCATGGTGGTTTTGCAAACTCAAAGACCTAAAGTAACCATAAAGGATGGTCTGAAATTAAAAATTTAAAAGCAGTTTATAATAGGTAGCATTTCCTAGGCCACTATTTTCCCTGACAAAGATCAACTTAGATCTTTACTAAGCCTGTTGTCTTGTTCTCTTTCTGCATCTAAGATAGCATACCTGTGTAATGTTATGCAAATACTACATACCTGTGCTATTATGCAAATACTACATTTTTTAATTCTGAAAGAATAGGTAGGGAATCTTTTCCACTTGCTAAAGATTTAGTATTCGATAGTTTTAATTGAACCATCAGAGTCTATTTGCAAGGGGGAAGGAAACAGGAAGTGGGAAACTGTAGAGTTAGCTGCATGAGATTCCAAAAACCTAATCCAGCCACAAAATTCAATGCAAAGTCTGGGTAACTTGTAATTTCCCTTTTTCAAGACTTCTTAGTAACAATTGGCTGGAGATCACAAATTCCCTCCATTGTTATTGTTACCACGTTAATTGTCAACTTTTAACTATTCTGTATCCACCTTTGGAAAAGAAGTATATGTCACACCTGATTGGTTTGGCTCAGTGACTAGAGTGTAGTCCTGCAGACTGAATGGTCCTGGGTTTGATTCCAGTCAAGAGCATGTACCTTGGTTGCAGGCACATACCCAGTGGGGGGTGTGCAGGAGGCAGCTGATAGATATTTCTAACTCTCTATCCCTCTCCCTTCCTCTCTGTAAAAAAAAAAAAAAAAAAAAAAAAAAAAAAAAAAAAAAAACAATAATATATATATGTTTTTAATAAGAAGCATATGACCATCATTTCACTTTTTATCCAATCCCAGAGGTTCTCTCTTCCATCTCCCCACCCCCACCCCGCTTTGCTTTCTCCCATCTCCCTAATCCATCACCAATGGATTTCTTGTAACCCACTTATGGCTCTTCCTTTTATGGTAATTCATAAAAACAAGGTAAAAACCTGCCATTCTCCGGAGCATTATCCCAATGTGTTGAGGTTTTGCTTCCTGGCAAATTTTGACAGTTTAGCTCAAATAAACATAAAAATTCTTTACAGGTTTGAATGTTTTTGTTTGTTTGTTTTACATTAACAGGGGGAAATGGAATAATTTAGGAAAGAAAATGTTAGCTTTTGATGATGAATTTAGATTTCGTCGGGCTGATTGTGGATTGAAGGAGAGGGAGGAGTCAGAGATGACAGGCTTTCTGTCAGCACAGTGAGTGGACAGTCATGTCACCATCACTGAGATGTGGGAACACAAATAGAGTTGGGTTTGGGGAAAGGGGTGATTTCAATTTGAACACATTGAGTTTAAGATGTTTTTGTGACTGCAAGGAGAGATGCCACATACACAGATTATGAATCTTCAGCCCTGAGGAAAATCTGTACTGGAGAAAAATACGTAGTTTGTAAACTGTTCTTTTCCATGAGGTACGTATTTTTTTCAAAATGCAGTTATTATAAACAGATGTTTTTAAGTACATTGCAGAAAAAAAACAGAAAATAAAAAGTAGTCTCGAGGAGTTTCCCAGACTTCCCTGTGAATCACCTGGGGTCTTTGTTTAAAAAAAAACTCTCAGACCCCTTCTCTGGAAATTCTGATTCTACATGTCTGGTATGGGGCCCATAAATACAGATTTTTAACAAGTGCTGCTGATGGGAGTTTCCCTGGGCAATGGTACTCCAGTACCAGAGGCCACCTGCATAAGACTTACCCACAGTGCTTACTAAAATATAGATTCTTGGGCTCTGCAGACTAAAATCTCTAGGGGTATAGTGAAGAGAGGAAGATTGTGCAGTACCAGGAGGTCCATAACTTCACCCTCCATC